ATTCTGCATATGCATAGCTATCTAGACAGGTCTTGGCAAGTTTATTTGGGGGAGAGGAACCAGGCTCAACACATATGTTGCAATCTGACTAGGTCAGGGTTAGGCAACCTTGGCTCTCCAGATGTGCTGAAACTACAAATCCCATAATGCATTGCAAGCCACAGGCATGACTCACAGAGGCAGACGCATGATAGGATTTACTGCTACCAAGCGTGCTCTGGATGAGTACATCTCCACGGTCTTGTCTCCTCTCTCTTGATGATAACCACAAACAGGAACAGGAATTATGTCATGGACAGGACTTCTTTTCATTGGACAATGCTCAATACACCCATATGGAGAAACGCGTCCAAAATGCACATGTATTTAGTGGGGAAATGCGCTAAAATCGTGCAAAAACACACTAATAGAAAACGAGCGTAAAACGCGCAGAAAAGGCTACGCCAAGGTGCAAATTGGGACTTACAGTAAAACTACTTAAAGAAAAAACTGGTCAAAACAGAACAAAACATTTTTTTTACAACTTTTTGACTATAGATTACATAGAAAGTAAAATAACTTTTGCAAGACAAAACTGCCAAAACAAAGCCTCGTTTGTCTGCCCTCCCAAAAAAATTTATGTATTACTTACAGTAAGATAACATACTTACGTAATGTAAATACAGAGTTATCACCAAATAAACAGGTCCAAAATGGAAATTAAAAAAACTTCTCTGGTCCACAAACGATATAAAGATACAACAGCTGAAGTGATAGCATTTTGAAGTTACCCATTTAGCATATATAATTAATTAACTATATAATATTATTATATACTGTAGTACAGTATTCTCTAACTTCAGGCGCATTATGACAACTTTATTTTGTAGAACAATGCCATAGTATGAGGACCACCAGCTGTACATAGATAAATGGTACCTGCATGTACGAGAGCTCCAACCACAGCAACAATATTAAATAAGAAAATGGCCATGACATTTCTGTCTAACATTGATTCCAATCTCTGCCCTATAACACAGACAGAGTTTAACTAACAGGAACAGAAAAGATTTGGCGTGACAGTTCGTCAAATACAATCAATCAGTTCCACTGACATTTATTGGCACGTTCTTCAAATGCTGTTAAGACACAAGTTCATAAAATACAGTAGAGAACAAAACCGCAGGGAAATCATACTTTGATTACTATAGAACCTAAAGGGCAAAATATCAGAAAACTGAAATTTAATTGTTTGCTGTGTATAGTTGGTGGGTTATTATTATTATTATTTTTATTATTATTATACAGGATTTATATAGCGCTAATCACCTGGTTGAATCACCTGGTGGTTTCTCATAACTCATGGAGACTTGTGGGGTTTCCATGGTGTGCTTTCCTCCTTCTCAAAAGGGTAAAAAAAAAGTTCTGCTACTCTCACCTGGAATGTGCTATCTGTAACAACTTGATTTGGGCTTCTTATTACCAATGATGTTGGGGCAGAACTAGGAAATCTGGTGGGGACTGCTTACCACTTGAGTCTCTAGGATATACAATTACATGTAAATCATGCTGTAGTTAGTATTTTATTTTACATAGTATATCTTATTTTTTTACGTGGCCTACCACATCGTAGCTGAGTTGCTGTTGTTCCCAGTTGCTTCCACTTTGTTATAATACCACTAACAGGGGGGCGTGGCTTGGCAATGGCGGAGTTAGGAAGCACATTGCCTGAGCTCTGCTATCTACGGGGATATTCAGAAGATCACGACATCTTCCAATCCAATTTTCGATGTCACAGAAGAGGAAATCCAGATCTAATAACAGTCGGCGCTCCCTGACATCATTACAGCGGTACCTTTCCAGCCAAGCGCCATCGACCCGCAACACACCGCGGCCGGCCATGGGGCCCGAGACACAGGGTAAGACCCAGGGGCCTACACCTCCGCGCCCCCCTCGTGGCGCCCAAGCTTCACCACTCACCCCGGTCCCGGGAGCGTCCACCCTGCAGCAGATGCCCAACTCGCTGCCTGCACCCAGCATTATAGAGGACCCGGTTATCCGCCTCACCCCGTCCCCGCCACAGATGCCAGAGGGGTCGACCTACCTCTCAGCCAGCAAGATCTCCTCCATTCTCCTGTCACTACCCACGCGACAGGATATGTAATTCGGATTCGGACGAAATTCGTTAGCGGTAGTTTGTTCGACCATTCGCTTCGTTTTCGTTTCTTATTCGTTTCGTTCATTCGTTCGTTCGTTTGCAGCAAAATCACATTTGAGGGGGAAAAATGTTTTTCTTCAACGAACGAAACGAATAAGAAACGAAAACGAAACGAACAAACTACCGCTACCG